TGATTCACTTTCCATATTTTTTTAATAAATATTTATTTATTTATGCATACAGAACTGAGGTACAGGGGCGGTGAGAACATTCACCAGAGACAGAGTGGGGAGCAGAACAGGCAGAAGTACACTGCTGAGGGGAGCAGCGGGCAAGACAGGAGAGGTCTGCTGCACCATGTGGGTCACCTCCCAGACCGGGGAATGAGCTCATACTGAAGCAGTTGCAGCTAGATTTGCAGTGCTGTGCTTTAACCCATTGAGCCACCAGGGAGGGCCTTCACTTTCCATAAATTTTTGAGTCATCCCTTTGGATTAGTCCACAGTATTATCTGTTGCCAGCATTATACTACTCAGCATGTGGTCCTTGGGTAAATTTGCATGTATATATTTAAGCTCTTTGAGTACTGTTTTACTGAAATTTCCCTTTACCTTAATTGCAGCTAAAATGACATTTCACCTAACTGTCCGTGAAAGAGGATGCATATTTTTCTAATTGCTGGCTGTCCTGTATTTAGTGGCATCTTGTTCTGTGGGCATATGGGTGCTCAAAGAACAACCAGAATATCATGTTCCAAAAAGGCTGTTCCTTCCACTAACAGAGCAACCAGCCTGAAGGCTGGAGCCTGGAGACATTTGCAAACCATCAGTGCATTTGGCTACCAAGTCTCTGTCAATCCTGAAGTTTTGAGGAGTACTCAAAACTTCTCTAGGCCTGCAGTCTCCACTCATACAAGAGTCTAGTCAGTTTGTTTCACCATTCTCCAACTCTCCCCTCTGTCTTATATCATCAATTTCCTCCTCTGCTCAATTTTCTTCCTTCCTTTTGAGCAAATAAAAATTTCCCATCTTAAAAAAAAAAAAGAAACCCTCTCTTCTTTGTTTAACCCTCTTTTTAAAAAAAAAAAATTCATTTTAATATGTAGAAGAACTGGGGTGTAGGCCAGAGGTGCAGGGGGTGAGAGAATTCACCAGAGACAGAGTGGGGAGCAGAACAGGAGGATTTACTGAATTACACTGCTGAGGGGAGCAGCAGCCAAGACAGGATACATAATACACTATTCCTACTGTGGGTTAGCTTTCTGGCCAGGAATCACTCAGGCCATACCAAAGCAATGACAGTGCTGAGACTTAACTGTAGACCACCAGGGAGGCCTTCAAGAAAACCCACTCTTAACCACATTCCTTTCCCCTCCCCCTCTTCTGTTATCACTCCCTTTGTTCTGCTCCCCTAGGAATATGTGTGTGTGCATTCTATTCTATCTATATCTATTTTTTCCTTTTACACGAGTGTGTGTGTGTGTTCTGCCCATCCTCAATCCCTCCCCTCTCATTCTCTTTTAGATCTGCTCCATTTAGGCTTTCACAGACCAGGGGCTACTACTAAAACTGTTCCTGTCATCCTGTCAGGTTATTAACATTCTCTCTCTCTCTCTCTCTCTCTCTCTCTCTCACACACACACACACACACACACACACACAGAGCCTCAGGGTGCAAGTATTGGTACATTTTGTCAGTTTTGTTCATTGATGTATTCCCCAGCTTCTGGGGACAGGGCCTATACATAGTATATGTTTAGTGAATCCCCATCTCTACTAATCCCCACAATATTTATGTCTCTATTTCAAGAGTTCGACTGAGAAGTTGACTTCAAAGGCTGAAGAAAGCCCAAACCACAAATCAGCCAAGGTAAATCAAGTTACTCCAGCAGCTAAAGCAGTCTGAGACTATACAGCTTTTTCTACCTTTGCAGACCTCCTGGTTGTTCTCCCAAAAGGAATGGCTTCAGAGAATGTTACAGGACAGGGAGAGAGGTACCATACAGGACAGGGAGAGAGGCACCACTGAACCCCCACACCTGCCTGCTCTAAATAGGTTCTGCCATCCGCCGCATCAAGACAAAACATATAAGACTTTAATGAAATGCCATCACCATAGTCCAGTGCATTTCCCTCCCCCCACTGTTTTTGATCCCATTCCCCACTCCACCCCCACAAAATGTCTCTGGTATATAGCTGTGCATCATTATCATTATTTTCTCGCCTGTTCTGTTATATTCCTGCTATGAGAGAAACCATCCGGTATTTTTCCTTTTCTTTCTGGGTTATTTCACTAAGCATGATTGTTTCCAGTTCCATCCA